AGCTGACATTTGATCTCCAAATGCATGAACACACATGTGCAAACACATTTACACACATACACACAGAGATCACATAGACACACCTAGACCGTGTACTTGACTCACCTACTAGATCATGAAGTCCTGGGAGGTTCGCTTCATGTCTCTAAGCCTCAGTTGTTATGGGAATAAAATGGGAACATGATGTGACAGCATTTTTATGGCTGTTGTTGCTGCTGCTGCTTATCTGTCTGAGACAGACTCTTGCTATAGAGTCCAATCTAACCTCAAGAAACAATCCTCCTGCCTCAATCTCCTCAGTGCTTGGATTACAGATCCGCAGCACCATACCCAGGATGTTACAATATTCTTGTAACGATTAAGATGACATCTAGGGCTGAGGATATAGCTCAGATGCAGTGCCATTATTAACAATATCATATTTAATGATGAAATTCCAGTTGCTCTTCATCTAAGATCAGAAATAAGAAGAGAATCTCAGCTTTTATCACCTCTGTCTGACATTGGCCCTGTAAGTTCAAGCTAATGTAATAAAGAAAAAAAGAAGAAGAAACGTAATCGAGAGTAGGAAAAATGGAATAAACTCATATTTATTCATAAATGAGAGGATCATCTACACATAGAATCTATAAAAACTAATAAGCAAGCCAGGTAAGGTTATAGGCGACAAGCTGAGAATACAGAAATCAAATGTATTTTGTCATCAACCAGTTGGAAACTAAAATCTTTAAAAATAGTATATTTTGGGATGTATTAAATATTAACTAGGGATAAATCTGACCCATGGTATGCAAGAAGGATGCACTGGGAGCTACAAACATTGCTAAAAGAAATGGAAGAAACCCTGAATAACTGTTGAGACATAATGTGTCAATAAATCAAAAGGCTCATTATTGCTAGGACATCAGTCCTACCCACGTTGATCCATCAATTCAGTGCTATCCTGATCGAAATCCCAGTGGCCCTTTTTTAAAAGCAAAATCATCATGCATACTCTAGAATTTATTTGGAAATACAAAATATCTAGAAGAACCCAAAAGTTTGAAAATGAATAAAATTGAAGGATGCACATGATCTGACTTTAAGACTTATCATAAAGCCACAGTTGTTGAGATATTGTGGTTCCAGTACCAAGAAAAACAAATAGGTCACTGAGCAGAATAAATAGAACAGAGCAGAACACCCATGTCTGGTCAGCTGCTATTTTTTATAGGTTAAAAAAAAAAGAACACCTATCCATATTACAAACCCTATAAAAATGCAAAATTTATTTGATAACTAAGTGAAAAACAATCAACTAACTCAAAATACATCATAAGCATAAATGTGAAATTATACAGTTCCTAGGAGAAAATCTCCATGACCAATGCATTAGGTGAGGATTTCTTAGCTGTAGCACCAAGGATACAATCATGAAAGAAGAAAGTGATCAATTAGGCCTCAACAAAATGTAGAATTTCTGGAGTTAGAAAGACACTGTGAAGGGAATGAGGAGGCAAGCAGACAATGGGAGGAAATACCTGCAGATCACAATGCTGATAAAGGACTTGTATCCAGAACATAAACAGCACTCGATGGCAAGAAAATAACCCAATTAAAATGAAAGACACAAAATATTTGAACAACTCACCAAAGAAGCTATATGGAAAGAAAAAAAAAAGAGCATGAGAAGATTTTTAGCGATATTAGTCACCTGGGGACTGAAAATTAAAATCATAATGAGGAACCGTGCCACAATTAATAGAATCACTAAAAGGACTGACTGTGTTGATTCTAGTCGAGGCTGTGGCAGAACAGGGATCCTCACACAGATACCGATGCTGGGGGACATAAAACAACACAACCAGGAGGGAGCGATCTGAGCTGTTCTTTTTCACGTTGTTAGAACTTTTGGCAGTGGTGGGGGGGGGTTGTTTGTTTGTTTGTTTGTTTTGTTTTGTTTTGTTTGTTTTTTGAGACAGAATCTCACTATGTAGACCAGGCTGGTCTCAAAATAACAAAGATTTGCCTCCCAAGTCAGTGATAGAATCTACCACATCTGGGGAAATTAATAAATAAATAATACTTTTGGGTTTGTGTGGTTTTGCCTTTATTTCTCAGCTGGAGATTGAAGCCAGGGCTTCACACATCCTAGACACGTGCTCAACTATTGAGTGCAGAAAGGAACCAAATGTACATGAGGAAACTTTATTCTTTTTGTGGGGACAGGGTGTGTGTGTGCTAGGGTTGGAACCTAAGGCAGCACGGTCACTAGGCAAGTGCCCAATCACTGAGCTGATCCCAGGCTCTTTATATACTGACTTGATTAAGGTTATGGTTTCACGCTGTACATACATGTCAAAAATGTCCAAATGAAGAAGCGACATACGTGTAGTTTCTAATATCAGTTAGACCTCGATAAAGCTATTGTTCTTCAGCGTCACGACAGAAGAGTGTCTTACGGCTACTTCGAAACTAGTGCCAGGAAAGGCCTCTCTGAGGAATCAATTTCTTCTTTGAATCTAAAACAACCCCATTGCTTGTGTTTTAAATGCTCAGTTCCCAGCTTGCAGAGCTGTTTTTAAAGCTACCTGGAAGAAGTGGGTTACTAAGGCCTAGCCTTAGAAAGTTATATTTAAGACTGGTTCCCACCTAATTTTCTGTCTCCAGTCCACCAAGGTACGAGACACCTCTGTTGTAGAATATTATTTTAAGATGTGTTACATTTGTTTATGCTGTGGAACATTTGTGTGGGTTTTTTTTTTTACTTTTTTATTTATATTGTTTTTATTGAGTTGTATATTTTTCTCTGCTCCCCTCCTTTCCTCTCCCCTCCCCTTCTACCCTCTCCCGTGGTCCCCATGCTCCCAAGTTACTCAGGAGATCTTGTGTTTCTATACTTCCCATGTACATTAGATCCATGTATGTCTCTCTAAGGATCCACTTTGTTGTCTAGGTTCTCTGGGATTGTGAATTGTAGGCTGGGTTTTCTTTGCTTTATGTCTAAAAGCCACTTATGAGTGAGTACATATGATATTTGTCTTTCTGAGTCTGGGTTACCTCACTCAATATAATGTTTTCTAGCTCCATCCATTTGCCTGCAAATCTCAAGATGTCGTTATTTTTTTCTGCTATATAGTACTCCATTGTGTAAATGTACCACGTTTTCCTTATCTATTCTTCTGTCAAGGGGCATTTAGGTTGTTTCCAGGTTCTGGCTATGACAAACAAAGCTGCTATGATCATAGCTGAGCAAATGTCCTTGTGGTACAATTGAGCGTCCTTTGGATATATACCCAAAAGTGGTATTACTGGGTCTTGAGGAAGGTTGTTTCCTAATTTTCTGAGAAATCGCCACACTGATATCCAAAGGGGCTGTACCAGTTTGCACTCCCACCAGCAATGGAGGAGTGGTCCCTTTATCCCACATCCTCTCCTGCATAAGCTGTCATCAGTGGTTTTGATCTTGGCCATTCTTATAGGTGTCAGATGGAATCTCAGAGTTGTTTTGACTTGTATTTCTCTGATAGCTGAGGATGTTGAACATTTCCTTAAGTGTCTTTCAACCATTTTAGATTCCTTTGTTGAGAGTTCTCTGTTTAGGTCTGTACACTATTTTTTATTGGATTGTTTATTCTTTTGATAACCAATTTCTTGAGTTCTTTGTATATTTTGGATATCAGACCTCTGTCTGATGTGGGGTTGGTGAAGATCTTTTCCCGTTCTGTAGGCTTCTGTTTTGTCTTGTTGACTATGTCTTTTGCTTCACAGAAGCTTTTCAGTTTCAGGGGTCCCATTTATTAATTGTTTCTCTCAGTGTCTGTGCTGCTGGGGTTATATTTAGGAAGTGGTCTCCTGTGCCAATGCATTCAAGTGTACTTCCCACTTTCTCTTCTATAAGGTTCAGTGTGGTTGCTTTTATGTTGAGGTCTTTGATCCATTTGGACTTGAGTTTTATGCATAGTGATAGATATGGATCTATTTTCATTCTTCCACATGTTGCTATTCAGTTATGCCCGCACCATTTATTGAATGTTCCTTCTTTTTTCCATTTATAGTTTTTGCTTCTTTGTCAAAAATCAGGTGTTTGTAGGTGTGTAGATTGATATCTGGGTCTTTGATTTGATTCCATTGGTCCTCCTGTCTGTTCTTATGCCAAAACCAGGCTGTTTTCAGTACTGTAGCTCTGTAGTAGAGTTTGAAGTCCAGGATTGTTGATGGCTCCAGAAGTTCCTTTATTGTACAGAATTGTTTTCCTTATTCTGGGTTTTTTGCTTTTTTTATGAAGTTCAGTATTGCTCTTTTGAGGTCTGTGAAGAATTTTCCTGGGATTGATGGGTATTGCATTGAATCTGTAGATTGTTTTTGGTAAGATTCCCATTTTTACTATGTTAATTCTACCTACCCAAGAGCATGGGAGATTTTTCCATTTTCTGGTGTCTTCTTCAATTTCTTTCCTCAAAGATTTAAAGTTCTTGTCATACAGGTCTTCCACTTGTTAGTTAGAGCTATGCCAAGATATTTTATGCTATTTGTGGCTATTGTGAAGAGTGATGTTTCTCTGATTTCTTTCTCAGCCCATTTATCATCTGTGTAAAGGAGGGCTACTGATTTTTTTTTCGAGTAAATTTTATATCCCGCTACATTACTGAAGGTGTTTATGAGTTGTAGAAGTTCCTTGGTAGAACTTTTGGGGTTGCTTATGTAAACTATTATATCATCAGCAAATAGTGAGAGTTTTACTTCTTCTTTTTTAATTTGTATCCCCTTGATCTCCTTTTGTTGTCTTATTGCTCTAGCTAGGACCTCAAGAACTATATTGAAGCAGCCTTCGGAGATCCCGTGGATCTGTGTCATGCTTCAACAGTGTTTGAATGGAACAAACCCGGGGCCTCCCTTTGTTAGCTTCCACCGCTCCTCATCTGCAGCCTCAGCCTCCAGGACCATCACCTCACCGCCTTCTGCTCCCAGGACCAGCCCGCACTGTCTCTTTGCGGGTAGCTCCAGACTGCGTCTCAACCATGACCTCCCAGATTCGTCAGAATTATTCCACCGAAGTGGAGGCTGCCGTGAACCTCCTGGACAACCTACACCTGCGGGCCTCCTACACCTGCCTCTCGCTGGGCTACTATTTTGACCGGGATGACGTGGCTCTGGAGGGTGTAGGCCACTTTTTCCGCGAATTGGCCGAGGAGAAGTGCGAGGGCACTGAGCGTCTCCTCAAGTTGCAGAACGATCGCGGAGGCCGTGCACTTTTTCAGGATGTGCAGAAGCCATCTCAAGATGAGTGGGGTAAAACCCAGGAGGCCATGGAAGCTGCCCTGGCCTTGGAGAAGAACTTGAACCAGGCCCTCTTGGATCTTCATTCCCTGGGCTCTGCCCGCACAGATCCTCATCTCTGTGACTTCCTTGAAAACCACTTCCTGGATACGGAGGTGAAGGTCATCAAGAAGATGGGCAACCACCTGACCAACCTCCGCAGGTTGGCTACTGGGCCCCAGGCATCTCTGGGCGAGTACCTCTTTGAGCGGCTCACTCTCAAGCATGACTAGGAGTCCTCTCTTTCCGAGGGGCTCCCACCTCTGCTCTGCACCAGCCCTCCTCAGGACCTTCACCCGAACCTCTCAAGAAGCCACTAGGCAGCTTTGTAATGCCCTGGAGCCCCTCTCAAGTCTTGGACCAAGTAAAAATAAAGCCTTTTGAAGCAGCAAAAAAAAAAAAAAAAAAAAAAAAAAGAACCATATTGAATAGATATGGAGAGAGTGGACAACCTTGTCTTGTTCCTGATTTTAGTAGAATTGCTTGGAGTTTCTCTCCATTTAGCTTGATGTTGGTAGTTGGCTTGCTGTATATTGCCTTTATTATGTTTTGGTGTGTTCCTTGTATTCCTACTCTCTCCAAGACCTTTATCATGAAGGGATGTTGTATTTTGTCGAAGGCTTTTTCAGCATCTAATGAGATGATCATGCGGTTTTTTTCTTTCATTTTGTTTATAACATATACATATGACAAATTTTCATATGTTGAACCATCCCTGCATCTCTGGGATGAAGCCAACTTGATCATGGTGGATGGTTTTTCTGATGTGGAACATTTGTTTTAATGATGCGAAAATGTGTTGCATTCTTTTATGATCCATTTGTTTAACTCTGTGAAGTTGTGTTACTTTACCTGTCTAAAACACCTGATTGGTCTAATAAAGAGCCAAACAGCCAATAGCAAGGCAGGAGAAAGGATAGGCAGGGATGGCAGGTAGAGAGAATAAAAAGAAGGAGAAGAGATCTAGGAATTAAAGAAGGAAGACGACTCCTGGGGCCAGCCACCCAGTTACACAGCAAACCGTGGAGTAAGAAGTAAAGAAAAGTAAACAGAAATAGAGAAAGGTAAAAGCTCAGAGGCAAAAAGTAGATGGGATAATTTAAGTTAAGAAAAATTGACTAGAAATAATCCAAGCTAAGGAAGAGCATTCATAAGAAAGAATAAACCTCCATGTGTAGTTATTGGGGAGCTTGGTGTCAGACCCCCCGAAGGGCAAAGAGCCAAGGGTAAGAAAACCAACTACACACCTCCACTGCACACTTCCACAACCATGATATACTCAACCTATGCATCCCTTGCCCAGATGAACTAAAATCCCTCCAAAACTGGGCTCTACTCCAAGTAGGTGGGAAGTCATTTACTTCCAAGTCATTTACTTTGAGTAGGTGGGTAGATGTCATTCAACAGAGAGACACAATCTGATTCCTGTTGATTTGTTGTTTCTAATCATTTGACTCTGTACCAAGGGCATGCATTATCTGCTGGAAATAAAATGTATATTGAAAACAAGATTAGCTTCACTGTCATGTGGAGACGAGGCTCCAAATGAGTGAGAGTGGAAGCAGGCAGCCCCAAGAGGCAACTGCAGCTGGGCACTGTAATCCCAGAACTCAGAGGGCTGAGACAAGACAACCATCAGATCAGGCTAAGAAGACTTCGATAACAAGGAAGATGAGGCGGGTAAGGAGGAAGACAACCTAGTATGTCTAAGGGCCTGGGTTTGATCATGACATCATGGAGTCAGGGGCTTGGGGAAGCCACTGCGGTCACTAGGTATGATGGTGGGACCATGAAGGCAGGTGTGGAGCAGGAGGATGTCTTTAAGATTGATCTAGAGGTGGGGTCAAGAGTACTTGTTTTAGATGGGGTGCTTATAAGCAGAAATTGGGTTCCTAGACTGGCTACTGAATTTACACAAACACCTGGCCTTCAGGACACACAGTTCTCAGACCTCCATTGCTCCCTAGAGCATCCAGTCACTGCCTGGAGTCACTTTGGCTTGGTTTGCTATGGTTAACTATGTCTCTGCCTCCCTCTCTAGACCAAAATCTCTTCTTCTTATCCCAACACCTAGAACAATGCCTTGAAGGCAAGCAGTTGTAATTTACTAAATAAAGAAGTAGGAGAGGATGCCAGTCGTGGTGAGGCATACTTTTAATTCCAGCACTTGGAAGACAGAGGCAGGCAGATCTCAGTGAGTTCGAGACCAGCCTGGTCTACGTAGTGAGTTCCAGGACAGTTAGGGCTATGTAGAGAAGACCTTGTCCCAAAAACAAGAAGGAAAAAAAAAAGAGATCTGTGGAGATGGTTCAGGCAGTCAGACTCCTGCCACATAAGCATGAGGACTTGAATTCAGCTCCCAGAACTGGTGTGAAAGCCAGGCATAGTAAGTGAGCATCTAAACCCTAGAAGATGGAGGTGGGCAGAGGCTGTATCTGGAGTTCATGGGGCAATCAATCCTTTTAAAATAGTGACCTCCAGGTTTAGTGAGAGACCCTGTCTCAAAGAATAAGGTCTCAGAGAGTGATAAAGAAAGATACCCCTGGTTTTCACATGCATACACACACACGTGCATAAGCACCAACATGCACACATGCACATATACACAGAGGCACACACACAATCATGTGCACACATACACAGGCACACACACAGTCACGCACACATACACATAGGTATGCACACAGGCACACATGCACATGCAGGCATGCACACACACACACAAACACAAAGAAACAGATGAATAGCTGAGTAGCTTACGAGTTCACAAGCACCGGACAAGGGAAGCCCCTCACCCTGCCTTGGCTGTGGCATCAGGCCTTCTGCACCACCTGCATCACCCTCCCCTCGCTACTATGCCCCCACTCTGTGCCCGACTGTCACCACTGAAAACTGCAACTACATGGCCAGCATGCTGGGCAGTCAGTACTAGCTGCCCCTGCCAGCAAGCCCTGACCTACTTTGGTGCTGGTAGAGGTTGATGACGTCATCAGCAATGAAGTGCCTCAGACTGGGGCTTGTGAGTTGGACTTTGAGGCTGACTTCAATTCTGGATACCAGGAACTTGGACAGAGTGCTATCCAGGGATGTCACAGAGAGATGGGACAGAGCCCAGGACTAGGAGTGAGGGCGACAGCTCTCTGGAGACCCCACTCTTCTGCTGGAAAGCCAGAATCAGTTTCCAAATCCCTTTGGGAGAATCCTGAGTTGTATAGTCTGAACCCCAAATGTCCCATCACACAGGGGATGGAGGTAGGAAATGGGGACAGGAAGGATTCCTGAAGCCCCTCTCTGGTGTCCCTAGTCTGATGAGTGTGCTAATTTGAGCCATTTCCAATCATCTAATAGGTATCAACCATGCTGGCAGGCATAGAGTGTTGGTGAGGGTACAGGTGATTAAGATATTGTATCAATGCTTAGCAGCTCCCTGTCAGGAGTCTGCGAGAAATATTAAGAAAAATTCACACCAAAACACTGTGAATGATTGTGAACACAGAAACACAGCTGTGGCCAATTGTGTGGCCAGCTCATTGGGCTCAGAGACCAGCCGCGGTTTCACAGACGGGGTGTATCTTGAAGGACGAAGCATGGTAGGCGTCAGCTCAGTCCAGCACTGTGTGTCTGAGGTTGCTGGGTCCATAGCTTAAACATGGGCGGGGGCGGAAGGCAGCTGCTGAGAACAGGGGCTAAACTTGACCCATATGAGCCACAGTGCTGCTGTGCTCACATGTTGAGATGTCATTCTGTCAATGGTGAGGACCTAGTGAGGAATTTGAAGCAGAGGAAGGTCTGGACAACATTTTAGGGTGTCAATACCCTCTTAGGTGCAGTGGTAGGGGTGGGTCGAACTGGAGACAGGAGAGCCCTGGGAACACTGACACCTTGGTGACAATGATGGGGGCTGGGGTCCTTGCCAGATCTAGAGGGGCCAGTGGGGAATGCCTCATGAGGAGTGTGGGTATAGCAATCAGATGGCAGCCAAGGTCATCTGCCAGCCACTCTAAAGCATGACCCACTCCCAACAATGGTTTTGGTGCTGGCACGCGTCTCTGTGTATCTGTGTGCTTCTCTCACTCTGGCGTTCCCACCTCACAAAGCATACAGAGGAAACAGGGAGATACAGACAGGCTGTAGGCAAATGAGGCCATGAGGGTCATAAGAGACACAGACAGTCTCCTCTGTAGGCAGGAAATCCTGAAGCTTTCACCTACTCTTCTCCCACCCTTCTATTGGACAGCATCTGTGAGAGGAGCCCCCAGGAAGAAGGATCAAGTCCCTACGTCCTGAGCACTCTGCCAACCACAAAGCGATAGCCTGGTCCCTGAGAATCCAGATGAGACTGTCAGGAAATCGTGATGTCCCAAGTTGGTCACTCAGCCTCTGTGAAGTGACCCTGACTGTCTCCCCAGGGTCAAGAGTGTCACTGAGCATGGGACTGAACGGGACAAGGGGAGGGCTAGCCAGCTGATCTCTTGGCTGGAGGGAGAAGGCCCTGAGTGCCATTTAATGCAGTGTGACACCAGGGCCCCCTGGCAGCACAATATTCCATGTGATGGTAATGAGGTCTGACATCTCCTCCCGGTGCTCCAGCATGTGTCTTGCCAGCCATCCCTACTCCAGAACCCCAGGGGTCAGGGCCAAGCAAGGGAGGTCCCCAAAGCCCCACCCTTGTCACCATGGGCGATGTAGCAGGAGCCAGCTGCACTGTAGCAGCTCGGGTGGGCAGAGGGGCATCCTGGAGGGGCAAGAAGAAAAGAGATTCACGGGGAAACCAGAAGCAGATGAAGAAAGACATTTGGATGTTTGCAGAAAATCCTAGAAGTAAAGAGATCAGATCCTAGCTGGGCATGGTGGCTCATACTTATTGCCCCAGGACTTCTGGGAGGCTAAGGTAGGAAAACTGTCATGAGTTTGAGACCAATCTGGGATACACAGATTGAAACCTTTTCTTGTTAGTGTGTGTGTGTGTGGGGGGGGGGGGGGGGTATGTTATGCCAGTCCTTTGGGTAAGTGAGTTTACCTCCCTGAAAGTCAATATTTAAAAAAAAAAATCAGGGGAGGTTATTACTATTTCTATCAATATAGGGTTTGTTTAGTTTTTGTTGGTGATGGGTTTTGTCTTGTTTTGTTTAGAAAACAGATGTTCATTGGAAAGAAAATACCAAACAAAGACCAATAAAGGTTCTGGGAAGATGAAGCCAGATCTTACTCCAACACGAGCTACTAGGGAACA